TTCAAGTACGTGTAGGAGTTTGCCACTAGGAGAAAGGCTTTTCTTGTTTTTTCCTTCAAGACAGGATCTCAGTTCATTGCCCAGACTGGAGTGCAGTGGCAGGATCATAGCTTACTGCAGCCTCGACCTCCTGGGCTCAAGCAATCCTCCCAACTCAGCCCCCCCAGCAGCTGGGACTACAGGGATGCCCCGAGCTAATTCTGTTTTTTGGTTTTTTTAGAGAGGTCTTGCTATGTTGCCCAGGCTGGTTCCAAACTCCTGGGCTTAAGAGATCCTTCCACCTCGGCCTCCCAAGGTGCTGGGATTACAGATGTGAGTCACTGCGTCAGACCCGAGAAGGGCTTTTTCAAGAGGGACCAGCACTTGCAAATGTGCAGAGGAAGAGCACAGAACATTCTCTGGCCCGGGAGATGAGGAAGGTGAAGCCAGAACAGCAGGCAGAGGATGGAGAGCAGGGGTGCTGTAAAGCTGCCAGGTGTCCACCCCCTCCAGAGACGAGAGCGGCTGGTTTCCCAAAATCAGGGGAAGGCATGTGGCAGATGCCGATGTGGGGGACACTGAGACAGGGTGACTGGGAGGCTCGTGTCTCTCCCCACACCTCAGTTTACCCACCTGTGACATGGGCAGTGTGGACCTCTGGTCTGGGCACAGCTTTCTCTTTGGACATGAAAACTATAGCATTCACACTGTGTCATCATGGGCCCTCCTGTCCCATCCATTGCCTAGTGCCACACACTCAGGTGTCCCGAGGACACACAGGGGCCTGGGCCAGGCTGGGGGCTTCTGCCTCCACTCCACAGTGTAGAACAAGGCTCGGGGAGTGTGGAGGTGGCTGGGGAGCCCGGGGGCCCCCCGAGGGCTGCTCTGTTTACCCGCGGTCGCCCGCCTGCCTCTGATGCAACAGGCAGGCTCTGGTTACGTGAGGCCGGCAGCTGGGCCAGCTCTGGGGGAAGGGCTAGCCGGGCAGAGCGAAGCTGGCCGGTGCTGGCCCATGCACCCCAACCCCCCGGCCCCCTCCTTCTGGTGGGCATCATCTTCCGTTATTCAGAGTCTGTCCCCGTCCTTTGGCCTCTGTTCCTATCCTCTACCTTCCCCAATCACTAATTGTGTCCCCTAGCAGGGCCACCAAGAGTCTTAACCTCATTCTTCTCAGATGAAGGGACACCCTTATTTGCTAGAGTAAGGTTGGAGGGTAGAGGGCAAGGTTGTGGGCAGGAAGGGATAGGATAGAAAGGGCCAGAGTGGGTGGCGAGGGAGAAGGGGGACCTGGGACGGGGCTGGGAGATGGGGGAGGCAGCAGGTGGAGGATGGATGGAGGAGGAGGCTGAGGTAGGAGGAGAAGCTGCCCCGCTCTGTCTCCCTCCTCCAGAACCTCGCCCGTCTCCCAGGGGAAGGCTTTGAAGGACCTTCCATGGCAAGGATGTGTGGCCCAGTGGGTAGGGAGGGCCTCCGAGGTTAAAGAACCCCGAGTCCCCCTCCCAGCTGTGCTGCCCCCTCCCTGTGTGACCTCAGGATGGTCACTGCATCCCCAGGGCCTCTTTGCTCATGTGAAAAGTGCGCATAGGCCAGGCACGGTGGCTAATGCCTATAAGCCCAGTATTTTGGGAGGCCGAGGTGGGTGGATCACTTGAGGCCAGGAGTTCGAGACCGGCCTGGCCAACATGGTGAAACCCCATCTCTACTAAAAATACAAAAATTAGCCAGGCATGGTGGCACATGCCTGCAATTCCAGCTACTCAAGAGGCTGAGGTAGGAGAATTGCCTGAACCTGGGAGGAGGAGGTTGCAGTGAACCAAGATCACACCACTGCACTCCAGCCTGGGCGACAGAGCAAGACTCTGTCTCAAAAAAAAAAAAAAAAAAAAAAAAAAAAAAAAAAAAAAAAAAAAAAAAAAAAAAAAGAACTGGGGTAATAGCAGCCCTCAAGGCCCACCCACAATGTTCCCTCCTCCAAAGGCGTTCCCATCCTCTTACCACTTGAGGTCCCTCTACCTCGCCGTCCCTCCTTCCAGCTTAGCACTGACCCAGGGGGTAGGGTAGAGTGTGTGCCTGCCTCTGTCTCCCCCAGCCTGGGGGTTCCTTGGGCCCCGACCCAGTGCATGGTGGCACCAAAGGGGTGTCTCCATGGGTTTCTTTCTTTTCTTTTCTTTTCTTTTGAGACAGAATCTTGCTCTGTCGCCCAGGCTGGAGTGCAGTGGCTCGATCTCTACTCACTGCAACCTCCACCTCCTAGGTTCAAGCAATTCTCCTGCCTCAGCCTCCTGAGCAGCTGGGACTACAGACACATGCCACCATGCCCAGCTAACTTTTTGTATTTTTAGTAGAGATAGGGTTTCACCATATTGGCCAGGCTGGTCTCAAACTCCTGACCTCATGATCCACCTGCCCTGGCCCCCCAAAGTGCTGGGATTACAGGCGTGAGCCACCATGCCCAGCCTCTTTCATTTTTTAGAAACGCAGTTGCTCTGTTGCCCAGGCTGGAGTGCAGTGGTGCAATCATGGCTCCCCGCAGCCTTAAACTCCTGGGCTCAAGTGATCCTCCTACCTTGGTCTCCAAAAGCACTGGGATTACGGGTGTGAGCCACTGCGCACAGCCACCACGGGTTTCTTGAAGAACTGGAGAATCCCCCAGGAAGGTGTAAGCAGTGAAAGTGAGTGGGGGCCAAGCCTGGGACACCCAGAAGCCTTGTTCAGGGCTATGACAGGGCTAAAAAGAGGCTTTCCAGGGGCCTGAGTGTGCAGGACTCTAGTAACCCAGAGCAGGTCTGAAATAAAAACCAGGACTCAGACCGAGGGCTAAGGACAAACCCCGCGGACGTCTGATGCTCATCCTGACCACTGTGGACAGAGCAGGGGCAGGTCGCTGCCCTCTATGAGTCTCTTTACCCCCTCCGCAGACCATGGTTGGGATCCCTTCTGGGTGACCTCTAGCCTCCTGAGCACTGCACACTTGTTTGGATGCCCCATGGCACAGAGAGCTCACTGCCTCTCTTCTAGCTGCCCACCTATCTCCGGAGTCCTGCCGGGAGTAAATACTATTTTTTTTTTTTTTTTTTGAGATGGAGTCTTGCTCTGTGGCCAGGCTGGAGTGTAGTGGTGCAATCTCGGCTCACTGCAATCTCCGCCTCCCAGGTTCAAGCCATTCTCCTGCCTCAGCCTCCCGAGTAGCTGGGATTACCAGCGTGCGCCACCACAGCCAGCTAATTTTTGTATTTTTAGTAGAGATAGGGTTTCAGCATGTTGGCCAGGATGGTCTCAATCTCCTGACCTCATGATCCACCTGCCTCAGCCTCCCAAAGTGTTGGGATTACAGGCATGAGCCACCGCGCCAGCTGGTTTTTGGGTTTTTTTTTTTTTTTTTAAATAGACTCTACCTCTGTCACCCAGGCTGCAGTGCAGTGGCATAATTTTGGCTCACTGCAACCTCCACCTCCCGGGCTCAAGCGATTCTCCTGCCTCAGCCTCCCAAATAGCTGGGATTACTGGCACTCACCACCACACACGGCTAATTTTTGTACTTTCCGTAGAGACGAGGTTTCACCATATAGGCCAGGCAGAGTCGAACTCCTGACGTCAAGTGATCCGCCAACCTCGGCCTCCCAAAGTGCTGGGATTACAGGTGTGAGCCACCGCGCCTGGCCAGCAAATGCTAATGAGCAAGCTCTAGGAGTGCCCTTGCCCTCCACCCTGACAAGGGAGGTTTCGAGCTCTTGTTCTCAAAGCCCTCTGGCCTCTCAGAACCTCAGTTCACTCTCTGAAAAGTGGGAGCAAGGGCATTTAGGGTGAAAAAGGGTGGAGGGTCACAGGGTGCCCACCAGGGCCAGCCAGGACTGCAGACAATGAGTGGACGGAGGCTGAGCTTCCCGCCAACGCTTTGCCTCTTGCGCCCCCTGGCGGCCAAAGTGGGCGGGATGCCCTCCAGGCAAAAAGGGCGAATCGAACGTGCAAAACGAGATGCAAATTAACCAGTGTTCCCAGGAGCCCTTGGACTCGGGGTGATGAGGTGTCTGACAGTCCAAAGTCCTGATCAGACATCTTTTGTTTATTATTTTTAATTGTTTTTTGAGACACAGTTTCGTTCTTGTTGCCCAGGCTGGAGTTCAATGGCACGATCTTAGCTCACTGAAACCTTGGCCTCCCGGGTTCAAGCGATTCTCCTGCCTCAGCCTCCTAAATAGCTGGGATTACAGGCATGTGCCACCACGCCTGGCTAATTTTGTATTTTTAGTATAGACGGGGTTTCACCATGTTGGTCAGGCTGGTCTCAAACTTCAGACCTCAGGTGATCCACCCGCCTCAACCTCCCAAAGTGCTGGAATTACTGCAAGAGGCCACCATACCCAGCCCATTATTATTTTTTGAGACAGAGTCTCGCTCTGTCACCCAGGCTAGAGTGCACTGGCTCGATCTTAGCTCACTGTAACCTCCGCCTCCCAGGTTCAAGCAATTCTCCTGCCTCAGCTTCCCAAGTAGCTGGGATTATAGGTGCCCACCACTACACCCAGCTAATTTTTTATATTTATGGTAAACAGGGTTTCACCATGTTGGCCAGTCTGGTTTTGAACTCCTGACTTCAGGTGATCTGCCCACTTCAGCCTTCCAAAGTGCTGGGATTACAGGTGTGAGCCACCATGACCAGCTATTTTTTTTTTTTATAGAGACAGGGTCTCTCCATGTTGCCCAGGCTCGTCTCCAACTCCTGGACTCAGGAGTTCCTCCAGCCTTGACCTCCCAAAGTGCTGGGATTACAGGCGTGAGCCACCATAGCTGGCTTAGATCCCTTTTAAGAGAGAGGACTGGGCCAGGTGAGGTGGTTCACACCTGTAATCCCAGCAATTTGGGAGGCTGAGGCAGGTGGATCACGAAGTCAGGAGTTCACGACTAGCCTGACCAAGATAGTGAAACCCCCGTTTCCACTAAAACTACAAATTAGCTGGGCATGGTGGTAGCTGCTTCTAATCCCAGTTACTCGGGAGGCTGGGGCAGGAGAATCACTTGAACCCAGCAGCAGAGGTGAGTGAGCCAAGATCATGCCACTGCACTCCAGCCTGGCAACAGAGAGACAAAACTGTCAGTCACTGGTTGAGGTCGCACCCAGGGGGGCTATGAGTGACTCAGAGTTCTAGAAGGGTCTGGGGTCCCCGATGCCTGCCTCCCTCACCCCCCAGCCCCAGTTGTCCTCACAGGTGCTGGGAGGGAGGTGACAATCCCGTTCTGCTGCCAGTTTCTCCTGCAGGTCTGAGCAAGACAGGGCTGGCCTGTCTGGCTCACAAATACCAGTCAGCGTTTGCTGGATAAATGGTCGCATGGAGAACAGATGGACATTGAGAGGTATCTTCAGAGCAGGTAAGAAGGGCAAAGGACTCTGGAGGCCACGTGCTAATCAGGGCCCCGGATGGGGTGGTTCTGGGCTCCTCCAACTCCTCAGCAGAGTGGAACGGTGGAGAGGCAGGGTAGTGGCACAGAGGCCCCCCAGTATGCCCTAGGAGGAGGAAAGGCAGGGCTGAACCCCCCTTCCAGGACTTCAAACACCTTGACAGGCCCGACGCCCCAGCAGGATGCCCTGTCTCCCCTTGGGACACCCCTGCTTTTCCCACCCATCTCCAGCAACCACCCCCCAGCACCAAGCTGAGTAACCCTCCCGGAGCAGTAGGACTGGGCCCTGTCTCAACCCCAAACAACCCCATCTGAGCTCCCTAATACTCTGTACTGGAATAGGGATTCTGGGGTAGCGCTGTGTTGGCATACAGCTGGCACTACAGATGCGTAACCTGTGGAGGCCTGGTCACCCACACTTGGCATTCACAGCGGTCAGTGCAGGCCCTTCTGCAAACAGCAGCAGAAGTGGACTCAAAGCCATTTTGGCAAAAATCATAATTCAGAGATCGATGAAACTGAAGAATTGAAATGAAATTGGCTAGCATCAGGTACAGCTGGATCCAGGGCCCCAGGCAAGGTTCTCAGGTCCACCCCCCACCCCTCGCCACCATGCTCCTGGCAGAACTCCCAGGAAAGGCCTCTTGTTGGGCCATGCGTCCAACTTGAACTAGTCACTGGGACCTAGGACACCGGCAGCTCTGATTGGCCAGGCCGAGGTGCCACATCCACCCTTGGAACTAGGGGTGGCTTCTCCACGTGGCCTGAGCACGCTGCTCGGGGCCGAATGCAAGGTGGGAAGGTAGGTCTGCGAGGGTCCAGCCTTCCTTATCCAGATGAACAAAAGGAGAACCAAGGCCGGGCGCAGTGGCTCAGGCCTGTCATCCCAGCACTTTGGGAGGCTCAGGCGGGGGGGATCACTTGAGCTGGCCAACATGGTGAAACCTCGTCTCTACAAAAAATACAAAAAATTAGCTGGC